ACTGAGTAGACTGGGATTATACTCATTGGAATTCAGAAGAATAAGGGGAGATCTTATAGAAACATACAAGATTATGAAGGGAATAGATAAGGTGGAGGCAGGGAGGTTGTTTCTGCTAGCAGGTGAAACTAGGACTAGAGGGCATCGCCTCAAAATAAAGGAAAGCAGATGTAGGACTGAGGTCAGGAGGAACTTCTTCACCCAACGGGTTGTGAATCTGTGGAATTCCCTGCCCAGTGAAGCGGTTGAAGCCACCTCGCTGAATGTTTTTAAGGCAAGGCTAGATAAATTTTTGAACAGTAAAGGAATTAAGGGTTATGGTGAGTGGGCGGTTAAGTGGAGCTGAGTCTCAAAAAGATCAGCCATGATCTTATTAAATGGCGGGGCAGGCTCGAGGGGCCAGATAGCCTACTCCTGCTCCTAGTTCTTATGTTATTTTCCTCAACATTAAAAATTAGGATTGAATATCATACAATTTAATAACAACAAAAAAAAAGTTTCAGATAAGCCAGCACAGCTCTATTTTAAAATAATGGAATTTATTCTAGCCATTTAAATTCATCTGCCTACAGACAGCTGATGTTGCAGGGTGTTATCACAGCATAGTTGGCAATACTGGTCTTTAGATCACCTCAGCATCAGCAATCTTCTGGGATTATAAAATAGATGGGGTGTTGGGACCACTTCCACCTTATGCCCCTGTCTGTGTCCGCAGGATATCTGATTGCACAACCTTAAGGAAGGGGACTAATTAATAGGCTGCTTTCATGCTCGCAATCCAATTGGTTATTGACTTCTTTGTCACTTCCATCAAACCATGATTGGTGAGCCTCTGGCAGCTTGGTCACAGACTGGAGGAGGGCCATGCATTGAGGTTTCATTATATCGTGTCTGTGATCATGCCCCTGTCATTGTTCTCGATGGGCAGTTATTTCATCTTTTCATACTCATTACAGGTACGTGAATATCTGGATGTACATGATGCGTGCTTTAAGTGGGTTGGAGCTGACAAGGATGAATGTAGGCCCTTTATCTGCAACAGATATTCATTGAATACCCATTCACTCTCCGTTGCCCTGATGCACAATGTCAGGAGCTCCTTAAACCCATTGAAGGCAGCTGTTCCCTCTTGGGTGCCTTAAGTAGATCTGAACTAAAATATCGAGTCAACCCAGCTTCCATCCAACAATCAGTAGCGGCAGTAACCAAAAATGTTTGGCTGCGATGATTAATTAGACTTTCCTGCTGATTCCCAAACTGATTAGTAACTAACATAACTATGATAGAGGGAGAATTTGGAACTACTTCTGTGTAATGTTTGGGTGTTTACCATTGGGATCTTTAACAAAAGAACTGTAATCCGCAGCACGTAGTAATCTATAACTTCCTCAGAGCCGTCCCATAGTATTCATTGACCATGAGGCTCAATGAAGCACAATGGTAGTGTCAATATTTTCACAGGTTAATGTCCTAAAATGCATTAAATCATTCCACTGACTCCATGAGGATCCAGATGGGTTAACATGAGACTTTGGTGCTACAACCCAGAAACCATGCAGTCAGTTATTTCACCAATGCTGATGTATCAATCATTACAGGACAACTGTTAGCCAGAACAGTGGGCAGACTCAGTTCAATTGCACAATTGATACAACAGAAAACAAATATGAAAAGATGTGTCTGCTTTACTGAGGAATGGCAATCACAGTTAGATTGTCAATACACTCCTAATTTTTTTTATGTTAAGACAACTCCGCATTTCTTGCATGAGATTCCAATCATGACCCCTTTAGAAATGTGGAGCTTTCCTTAAATCTAGCTGTACCCTTATAGTGGAGGATAGTTCAGGGGAAGTCAAACTATAGTTGTTGTTTTCTGTAAATATCCAGCAGCACAGACAGCAACTTTGACAGCTCCTGTAAAAGGCTAAGTATGTAAGATAAGTGCGTAAGGGAGCCAATTGTGTAGGATGACAAGTAAAAAGGGTGGCAGATACGTGCTGGAGCTTTTAGGTGGGGTAGGCAGGGGCATTAATACTGCCATGTCAAGCAAAGGGGAGGGACATTGTTAGGTTCTGTAGCGAGAAGTTTTGAAGAATAGTCAATGGATCCGAAACATTAACCCTGATTTGTCTTCATAGAAGGTGCCAAACCTGCTAAGTTTTTCAAGCAATTTCTGTTTTTGCTTTTGTTTCTGTAGTGAGAAGGTTTGTCACGTCCCATGGTGAGGTATGTTGTGTCAGATCCCAAAGAGAGGTGGGTGTTAGATTGGCAGCAAGGGAGGGTGGTGTTCCCAATGGCTAGGGGAGGGTGTGACAAGTTCCATGATGGAGGAGGGAACTGTTGCTTCTGTGGGGTGGTTTGTCTCTAAGGGAAGGAGTTTTCAGGTCCTGGTAAGAGAGGGATCTGGCAACAGGGGTGGGGTTGTTGGGTCAAGTAATCACAGTGATTAATCATAGTATTAACTGTGAAAAAATAATAGGACAGAGAGTATGGAAAGGTTTAGGAATCTAACTTCAGGCACAGGGTAAAGAAGGGAACAACAATGAGACGGAGATGAGGAGTGAGAGTGTTATATTTAAATATGTACGGAATATGAAACAAGGTAAATGAGCTTGTAGAGCAGATTGAAATTGACAGGCATGGTGTTGTGGGTATCACAGAGACATGGCTGCAAGGGGATCAGGGCTGGAAACTTAATAATCAAGGATACACATCTTATCGAAAGGATAGGCTGACAGGCAGAGGAGGCAGGGTTGCCTTGCCAGTAAGAAATAAAATTAAATCTATAGCAAGATACAATATGGGGTAGGAAGGAGTAGAATCTGTGTGGGTAGTGTTGAGGAACTGCAACTGAAAGAAGACCCTGGGTGGGAGTTACGTACAGGCCTCCTTGCAGTCAGAATGGGGGCAGAAAATAAATCAGGAGACAGAAAGGGCATGTAAGAAAGACACTATTACAATAATCATGGAGGGGGGACTTCAAAATGCAAGTGGATTGGGAAAATCAGGTTGGTAGTGAATCCCAAGAAAAGGAATTCATGGACTGCTTGAGATGGATTTTTGGAACAGCTTGTGGTACAGCCCACTAGGGAACAGGAAATTCTCGATTTGGGGATGTGTAATGAGGCAGACTTGATTAGGGAGGTTAAGGTGAAGGAATTCACCCTGCAGTTTGATGGGAGAAGCTGCATTCAGGTGTAACAGTATTACAACTGAGTAAAGGTAACTACAAAGACATGAAGGAGGAGCTAGCCAGAGTTGATTGGAAGGGGAGCATAGCAGGGAAGATGGTGCAATAGCAATGGCGGGAGTTTCTGGGGGATAATTTGGGAGGCACAGCAAAAATCCATCACAAGGGAAAAGAAACATACTGAAGGGGGGATGAGGCAACCATGTCTGACAAGAGAAGTTGGAGACAGCATAAAATCAAAAGAAAAAGCACATAATGTGATGAAGGTTAGCGGGAAGCCAGGAGATTGGGAAGCCTTACAAAAACCAGTAGTGGGGGAAGAGCCAATGTGACGTCACTGTTTAAAAAAGGAAGTAGACAAAAAGCAGGTAACTATAGGCCAGTTAGCTTAACTTCGGTAGTGGGGAAAATGCTTGAATCTATCAATAAGGAAGAAATAGCAAGACATCTGGATATAAATTGTCCCATTGGGAACACCCAGCATGGGTTCATGAAGGGTAGGTCATGTTTAACTAATTTGGTGGAATTCTTTGAGGACATTACTTGCATGGTGGACAATGGGGAACCTGTGGATGTGGTGTATCTGGATTTCCAGAAGGCACTTGACAAGGTGCCACACCAAAGGCTGCTACATAAGATAAAGTTGCACGGTATTACAGGTAATGTATTGGCATGGATAGAGGATTGGTTGACCAGTAGAAAGCAATGAGTAGGGGTAAATGTGTGTTTTTCTGGTTGGTGGTCAGTGGCTAGTGGTGTGCCTCAGGGATCAGTGTTGGGACCGCAATTGTTTACAATTTACATAGATGATTTGGAGTTGGGGACTAAGTGTGGTGTGTCAAAATTTGCAGATGACACTAAGATGAGTGGTAGGGCAAAGTGTGCAGAAGACACTGAAAGTCTGCAGAGGGATATAGATAGTCTAAGTGAGTGGGCAAAGGTCTGGCAGATGGAGTACAATGTTGATAAGTGTGAGGTCATCCATTTTGGTAGGAATAGCAGCAAAATGGACTATGTTTTAAATGGTAAAAAATAGCAGCACGCTGCTGTGCAGAGGGACTTGGGTGTCCTTGTGCATGAATCGCTGAAGGTGGGATTGCAGGTGCAGCAGGTAATTAAAAAGGCAAATGGAATTTTGTCTGCCATTGCTAGAGGGATGGAGTTTAAAAACAGGGAGGCTATGCTGCAGCTGTATAGGGTCCTGGTGAGGCCACACCTGGAGTACTGTGCGCAGTTTTGGTCTCCTTACTTGAGAAGAGATATACTAGAACTGGAGGGGGTGCAGACGAGATTCACTCTGTTGATTCCAGAGTCGAGAGGGTTGGATTATGAGGAGAGACTGAGTAGACTGGGATTATACTCATTGGAATTCAGAAGAATGAGGGGCGATCTTATAGAAACATATAAGATTATGAAGGGAATAAATAAGGTGGAGGCAGGGAGGTTGTTTCCACTAGCAGGTGAAACTAGGATTAGGGGGCATTGCCTCAAAATAAAGGGAAGCAGATGTAGGACTGAGGTCAGGAGGAACTTCTTCACCCAACGGGTTGTGAATCTGTGGAATTCCCTGCCCAGTGAAACGGTTGAAGTCACCTCGCTGAATGTTTTTAAGGCAAGGCCAGATAAATTTTTGAACAGTAAAGGAATTAAGGGTTATGGTGAGTGGGCGGTTAAGTGGAGCTGAGTCTCAAAAAGATCAGCCATGATCTTATTAAATGGCGGGGCAGGCTCGAGGGGCCGGATAGCCTACTCCTGTTCCTAGTTCTTATGTTCTTATGTAAGAGATGGAATATGAGGATAAACCAGTAGTAATCACTTCAGCAGTACATATACTAATATTAGAACGTTGAAGAGAAGATTAGCATGGCCCCTGCATTTAGATGACACGGAAAATTGTGAAGCATTCAATATTTTTTAGGCCCTCTTGTGGCACAGTGATAATCACTGCCCCGGATCAGGAGGCATGGGTTTACGTCTTACCTGCTCCAGAGATGTGCAATAACATCTCTAAATAGGTTGATCACAAAAAATATTAAAGGTTGTAAGTTTTTTTTAGATATATAAAAGGTCAGAGAGAGGCAAGATTGGATATTGGACTGTTGAAAAATGAGACTGGAGAAGTAGTAATGGGGAACAAAATAATTGCAGAGGAACTGAATAGGTACTTTCCACCAGTTTTCACAGTGGAAGACACCAGTAGGACACCAGAAGTTCAAGAGAGTCAGGGGCAGAGTTGAGTATGGTGACTGTCTTTAAGCTCCTGATGGGGAGTTAGGCACAACCAAGATAAACATCAAAGGCGGGTGTCAGGTGCGTTTCCAGGTCCCAACAGAAATTTAAGTGCACAAGCTAAGCAGCAGGGTACTGTCTGTCTGCCCACTCATTAAAGACAGTGAGGATGTTCATGAGGTTAACAGGCCACTAACGTAGGCTTCTAACACTGACTTATCAAAAGTGCCACTTTCAAAGTGGGAGCTACCACTCTTTAGAAATATGTGAAAGAGAGGGTGCCTCAAGGTTGAAATCTCTTCTGAAAACATTTCAGAAACTCACAAAATAAAAAGAAGCCGCTACTTCCAGGCTCTTGGCATGGAGAACAAGCCCACCACAGAGTGGTCTACAGCCCCAGTGGTCATCTTACAGTTGCTGCCACAGTGGGGAGGGGAAGATGAGGTAATAGAGGTAGAGTTTATAAATGATGGATGGAGTGATGCTCACTCCCCCATCCCCCTTCACTCGTCTCCTCCTGTCATTGTGGCTTTTATTCATCAGACAGAATTTGACCCCAATGATTAGGCCCAAATGCTGCCTGGAAAATTCTGCTCAGCAACTGAAGAGTTTAATTGGCTACATGCTACCTGTGAGTAGCTATCTATAAACTAACAACCCACCATTCAAAGACTACTTTAATTGGGAACGTGCAAGCCAGCAGCAAGGAAACAAATTCTAGGCTTTAGGAGAATTTGCCAACATCATAATAACAAAAGGGGGTAAGATTAGTTACACCAAACCTGATTATTCGCTTTATCCCCCAGTTTTATACATAAATCTGTTTGAAAAATCTTGTGTGACCCTAAGTCCTGCACATTCACCCACACAACATTTTGTAATTCAATTGAACCAGCAAATTGATGAATACAAGCATTAATCATTAATTAAAATGAAATTGACTGCTTTTAACTAATGAGACTAGAAGAGAAAAAAATTATCTGGGCAAATCCTTTTAAGTGATTTGCAAGAATTAAGAATTTCTTTCTGTTCATTTATTTATTTCAACACAGATTGCGAATGATGACACTTTAGTAGCTGGCTAAGACTAACTGCTGTTTCTGATAATGGCAGAAGCAGATTAACATGGGCAGTTCAAAGGGAAGCATTACTTCAACAGTGATTACGAATATTTGTGCTTCAGACTTTGTCTGGCTAGAGTCATTGGAAGCTTATTCTCTTGATTTTTTTAGAGGTTAGAGTTTAAATAAAAGTTATTATTGCTAAAACTGTGGAAACAGAATTAAAGATTAAACTAAGAATTCTTTCCAACAGTTTCAGCTGGGAATATAGCATGGCTTACTTGCCCTTTTGCAAATATACTTTGATTTGAGTTATGCACTTTCTTTACAATTTTACTGGTGAACTCTATATTTGTATTTTGTAACTGTTACATGCTCCAGTTTCATGTTTTACTGATATTCTACCAATTTCTTTTTGTTTAACTTGTTGCTCTTAGAAATCAAAATTCAATGTCTCTTGTGATTAGGGAAAATTTGTATTTAGATGTTGGCATTTAAATGCCAGGTCACATCAGCCTCCTGATCATGCAGTCATCTTCTTATGCTATTTTCTACAGAGCCAGAAGGTGGTTTTGGAATGCAAAAGGCTATGCAAAACAAAAAGCTTTGATCAACTGTCCATTGGTCACATTAAGAGCTCCATTATAAAGTTTATTTTATGTATTTGCCCATACTGTAAGTTGAAAATGTCAATGAAATAGTAGGTTACAACACTGCCCTAAGAAAAAGTAATAGCATAGCACCATAAGTGTAGAAAAGATAAAAACAGATCTTCACAACATTGCATAGGAAAGTTATTTTTAAATATGAATTTTTAAAAACGATTTACAAGGGATCTGACATATACACAATGCTAAAAAGATTTTAACTCAATAAATAATTTAGCCTTGCATTTCCATGGACAAAATGATTCAGTTCCTGCAACAGTTGTGGCAGATGCAAGCAGATGTAGCCTATATTCCAATTGAATTTCTTGCCATTGGTCCCATGACAGCATATTTTGTTATGATTGAAGTTTTAAAATAGATCTTGCCTTTACTCACCAAATTTCAAAATGACGTGTCTAAGACGAATGCTTGCATTCTCAATATTAAACTTTCCAGTGGAAAAACAATGAAACAAAACCAGAAATCAGGGTTTTCCCTGTGCTTATCAACATCAATCAAGATGTACTTCCCCTCACTGGAGAGAAAACAAGTTGATTAAGATTTCCCCATCACTTAGAGTTGACAAGAGTGAGGGAAGGCCAACTCTCTACCCAGTTTTTATTCCTAGACCAACTGTCATCATTGACCCAGAGGGATGGTAGTATACTCTAGGACAGCAGAGGCATGTCCACCATCAGTAACACTGGAGAGTGAGGGCTCTGTAGTCATATTCTCACCTATGATGAAGAAACCTTTACCTCTTTGCTGACATCACAGAACTCACTGCCTATAAGTATAGTAGAGGCAGAGATGATGAATGATTTACAAAGGAAATTGGACAGGCATTTGACTGAAATAAATTTACAAAGCTTTAGCAATACAGCATGGGAATGGGACTGAATAGATTCATCTCTGCAGAATGGACATGGATTTCTTGAGTCAAATGGCCTTCTTCAATGCCACAATGAATTATACACGATATAACAGACCCTGTTTACAAGGTTAAAATGTTGGGGGAGAACTCATCCAGGGCTGTCCTATGCCCATTTATTAAATAGTAGCTGGAAGAAGAATTTCACCCCTCAGTGTCCAGAAGTCCTACTACAGAACACCAACCAATCAGAGGTGGCAGTAGCACTCAAGTACTGGTAGAACTACTGTCAATCAACTAGATTGGCAGGGGGTGGGGAACCGGATCTGTAATTCAGAGGATGAGGTATTCAGCCTTCCAACAGACACAACAGGGACTGAGGTTGTTAGTAAAGAAATGCGGTTGATGGAGCGTAATTGTGGACGCAGGGATGGTTTGAAGTGTGTATACATCAATGCTAGAAGTATCAGAAAAAAGGCGGATGAACTTAGAGCATGGGTCACTACTTGGAACTACGATGTTGTGGCCATTACAGAAACTCAGGTAACTCAGGGACAGGAATGGTTGTCGGAAGTTCCGGGATTTAGATGCTTTAAAAGAAATAGGGAGGGTGGTAAAAGAGGCGGGGGAATGGCATTGCTATTCAGGGCTAGTATAGCAGCTACTGAAAGGCAGTTTGAGAATGATATGTCTACAGAGTCAGGTTGGGTTGAGGTCAGGAACAAGAAAGGAGCAGTCACTTTGTTGGGTTTTTTTTTACAGACCCCCTAATAGTTGCAGAGAAGTGGAGGAGTGGCTTGGGAGGCAGACACTGGAAAGGTGCAGAAGTCACAGGATTGTAGTCATGGGTGACTTCAACTTTCCAAATATTGATTGGAAACTTTTTAGTTGTAATAGTTTAGATGGTTGACACTATACGGAGATAGACCAACACGAGGAGGGGCCACTTTGGATTTGGTGCTTGGCAATGAACCGAGCCAAGTGTTAGACCTGTTGGTAGGAGAATACTTTGGCGGTAGCGGTCATAACTCTGTTACTTTTACAATAGTCATGGAAAAGGATAGGTACATACAGCAGGGTAAGGTTTACAATTGGGGGAAGGGTAATTACAATTCTGTTAGGCAAGAACTGGGTAACATAAAATGGGAACAGATGCTGTCAGGGAAGAGCACTATTGAAATGTGAAGATTGTTTAAGGAATGCATACTGCGTGTGCTCGATATGTTTGTCCCTAGCAGACAGGGAAGATGCGGTCGAGTGAGGGAGCCTTGGTTCTCAAGAGAGGTCGAACAACTGGTTAAGAGGAAGAAGGATGCTGATATAAGGTTTAGGAAACAAGAAACGGAAAAGGCTGTAGAGGGATACAAGTTATCCAGGAAGGAGCTGAAGAAAGGGCTTAGGAGAGCTATAAGGGGGCATGAGAAAACCTTGGCAGATAGGATCAAGGAAAACTCCAAGGCTTTTTACACGTACGTGAGGAATAAGAGAATGACCAGAGAAAGGGTAGGACCAATCAAGGATTGTAAAGGGAATTTGTGCACGGAGCCTAAGGAGATAGGAGAGGTCCTTAATGAATACTTTTCTTTGGTATTCACAACTGAGAGGGACTGAGTTGTAGAAAAGGACAGTGTGAAACAGGCTGGTAGGCTAGAGGAGGTCGATGTTAGTGAGGAAGATGTGCTAGGAATTTTGAGGAACTTGAAGATAGATAAGTCCCCCAGGCCTGATAGGATTTATCCAAGGATTCTGTGGGAAGCGAGGGAAGAGATCGCAGGGCCTTTGGCAATGATCTTTTCGTCCTCACTATCCACGGGTATAGTGATGGAAGATTGGAGAGAGGCAAAAGTCATTCCCTTGTTCAAAAAAGGGAATAGGGATAACCCCGGAAATTACAGGCCAGTTAATCTTATGTCAGTGGTGGGCAAATTATTGGAAAGGGCCCTGAGAGATAGGATTAATGATCACTTGGAAAGGCACAGTTTGATTTGTGATAGTCAGCAAGGATTTGTGAGGGGTAGATCATGCCTCACAAACCTTACTGAATTCTTTGAAGAGATGACAAAACACGTGGATGAAGGTAGAGCAGTGGATGTGGTATACATGGATT